CACCTAACTAATACAGAAATTTAAAGATTTAAAACTTTAGAAATCATTCTAATTAAATTTTTTAAAAATGAAAAATTCTTGTAAAAATTCATTACCTATCGAAAAAAATGTATTTTTCAAAAAATGTCTTTTATTTATGAAAACATATAAAAAATTTTTTAATTAGATAATTAGTTTAATTGCATTTTTTTTTTTTTAATAAGAGCAGATTTTGGGTAACTGGAGGTCCTGTTTTACAAAAATAAATTGATGCAAATTTTCCTAATTCTGCGTATAATTAATATAAACATTAAGCAGTACAAAAATGAATTTCTCGAAATTTCATAAAATTAAATATGTGAGAGATGTAAAAGAATGTTTTTACCATGATTTTCTAAAAAGGAAACATTTCTAAAATAATTTCATTCATTTGTGATTACGAGCTGAAAGTTTCATTAAATCCGACAATTATTTGATTTTTGTAAGAATTTTCAAATTGTGTTTTTCACCGTAAAAAAAAGGCTGAAATTCTCTATACTAATTATATATATAATTTTCTTACCCAAACCTCGACGGAAGAAAAACAAGATTTTAACCAAAATTTCAAACGTTCTAAAAAGGGTCCCAAAATATAATCTAATAATAAAGATCCTTTGATTTTTCCTAAGATTTTTTATGATAAAAGTGCTTTTATTAATTTGGAGGCATTTTACATCATAGTATTTTTAGTGAATATTTAAAATATATATATTTTAAGACATTTTTATGTTTAACATTCATTTTTTTATTTATACAAATATTTAAGTAAATGCTCTGTTTACAGTATTAAACAACATTTACCGGCCTGAATGTTAAACATAAAAATGTCTTAAAATAATTGTCGGACTTTGTCCATTTCAAAATGTGTGACGTCATTTGTTTACATTTGATACGCCATGAGCAGATATGAATGTACGTGAGAGATTCATAGAAGATTGAAGTTTATAAGCAGTAAATTCGACCTTGCCAACCGAACGATCCTCTGTGGCCGAATCGCTAAAAAGGCAGTGTTCGAATCCTGTCGGAGGACGAATATTTTCTATGAAAATTTCTCGGACATTCAGGCCGGTAAATGTTGTTGTTTAAAACAGAGCATTTACTTAAATATTCGTATCAATAAAAAAAGAATGTTAAATATATAAAAATGTCTTAAAATAATTGTCGGACTTTGTCTATTTCATAATATATGTGTGCATTGTGTGAACTATTAAAAAAAGAATGATTAAAAATTATTTTTTCTAATATTTGCTGTTAAAAGTGCATGTTCATACGTAATACTCTCTTTTTCTTTCCACCTTTCGCACATTTTTCCCATTTGTTCTTTTCTTTTATCAAGAATGTACACACAGCGTGTCTTCTCAAGTGTTTTATAAGCTCACTTAAAGTCATGTTTGAATAATCTTTAGGTAAGAATATTTAATCCTATCTTGCTAATAGTAGAGTACTTATAAAACTAAGCAAAACATATTGGTGTTGCTTTTTTAAATTTTATTTGTGGGCGTCTGTATGTATTTATTAATTGTCTTATATGTTTGTACGTATAAGTATACAGAGAACATTAATACCACAGCCGAGTATTTAGATGAAAAAAAAAATGGCAATGATGATGCTTGTTCAATGAATGGTAAAGAAAAATTAGTTGCATGACCATTCATGGGGATTATATGCGAATTAAAAAAAAAAAGAAAAATGTTTCAAGTGTTTTTCTATTTCGTTTCTCCCACTTAATTGTCAAGTGAGGTGATGTCAGGTGATCTGGTCAACAATTTGTTGGCCCACTAAACTTATTACTTTTTTGTCTACGTACATTTGACATTGAATTCCATCAACCGGTTGAACGTAAATTATTTGAACAACGTACCAGTAGATATGTACATCTCGCTACTTCAAAAGATGTTAAGTTCGTTTACAATGACAACTCAAAAACAAGTGATCACAGGTGTCACAGTAAATAGCTGAATTGGCAGTCGAGAATGACGTTATATAATTTTGTAGAACGGGGAATATCTCCATAAGTATGGGTTTCTGTAAACATTATTCTTACATAAGTGCTTTCAGGTGTCCTTGCATCTAAGAATGCACGAATTTGTGCATATGTGCATGTATATGCATGTAGATGTATTTTCAAGCTTAAAACCGAAAGGGAAGTGCTCTTTATATTGCGATGGTGCAATGCACATTTTAGCAAATTATATCGTAATCAGTCAATATCGCTATACTTTGGTACGCGTGTGCAAATGTAAATATATATGTGTTTGATTGAAATTGCATAGAAAATGCAATATGTATGTGTGCATGCAGAGGTACGAATCATCAGGTAAAATCTGGTTCATTCTTCTTAACTTCTGTGAAAATTTTGTGTCCGTGAAGATCAAAATGACTCGATAATTCGTTGTAAAGTTTAATTCTTTCGTAATTCTGAAAAACATGCTTTGTAGAGTCCATCGTATTTTGTTGAAATTAAAAGATAATCATGAGATAGGGGAGATGGTTTGAAAAGAAATGTCTGTTCTTAGATTTTTACCACCAGTATTCTTGAGTCTCAGTTCACTTCCCTAATCGTATTAAAAATGTTGCAGAAATGTGGTTCTACAGAAGGATGCTGAGAATACCATGGACTGATCATATGAGCAACGAACGTGTAAGCTAGTTTTAGAAAAGATGAAAACAAAAAGGACATTTTCTGATTCTAAGTATAGAACCAGAAAGAAATAATTGCAATTTCTAGGATGCATAATGTGGAAAGAGGGCTTGAAAAATTGAACACCCACAGGACATGTTGAAGGCAAGAGGGTGAGAAAAAAGCAGAGAGAGGAAACCTACTTAACGAACTTATGCAAATGGTTGGCAGGACAGGGATTAGGAGAGATAGGAAAAAACAAATCCTGCTAAGAGATACAAATGACAGGAAATTGTGGAGAGCTAGATCACCCACGCCCGAAAGGGACACGGCACTAGTGTAATTGACAAGTCACGTCAACACTTTCATTGCCCAAACTTGATAAAACAATTAACAATTACTAATAAATTGCGAAAAAGATTAATTAATCCTTACTTTTAATCCCGGATCAATGTTTTAACTGGGAAATAGAAACTTTAATCTTATTATTAATTATTATAAATATCAATAATAATAATTATAATTATAACCTAATTTTGATTCTAGCTTCTCATTTGCCTTTTGCTTTAAACTTTAATAAACAAACTCTCATAGTATTTGTTGAGATTTCGTTGAGTATTAAAATATTAATAAATATACAAAAATTAATATATATATATATATATATATATATATATATATATATATATATATATATATATATATATATATATATATATATATTAAAGAAGTGCTATCTGATGATCCGGCATCCTTTAAAAGGGCTCTGGTGAAGTAATTATTATAATGGAACCTTAAAAGTGGTCTGTTTTTCTTTAAAATATTAGTTCTGGTCTTACATTGAGCTCTCAGGATTTCATCCTCCTTGGGACGACCAATACGGATTACCAAGTTTTTCATAACTTAACTATATATATATATATATATATATATATATATATATATATATATATATATATATATTGGACAAATCGATCAAAAGTATGATAAAGTCGCAACTGATGAAATTAACGAGTTACTTAAACCAATGACAGAGCTTATAGTATCAATTATTGATTTGAAACAAAGTTGGAATATTCCACAAACATAGATTTGTTTAGCCATACGAAGACATATACAAGAAATAATTGCACTATTCTCACGATGATATATGATTTAAACCTGTCCGAAAAATACTGAAAATGAATCAATGTCGATAGTAATTTTAGCATGTGAGATGATTTCATCTGCATGCGAGTTGGATAATTTTCCTATAGTCGGTGTTTGATAATCAATTGACATGTTTCAAATATTCGCACCAGTTTTAGAAAATGCTAATTACTGACGACATTGACTGAAGTCTGTACAGACTATTCATTGACTCATATTTTGAGTCCTAATTTTCTTCATCTATTTTCATTAAATGCAAACTTTATTGCGAGAATGCATGAGTAGAAAGGAAACAGCTGTTTCGATTTAGTGAAATTTTATTATTTTAGGGTCTTTAAAAACTTTGTTTTGAAATTAGATGACTAAAAAGGACGCTAATCAGTCAATTTAAATTAGTTTTTGAAATACAGCAAATATTTTGAGTATTTGAAATATTAAATTCAATCTATTAGCTTGAAATTAAAACTAAAATAAAAGCTTCAAGAATGATTGTTCATTTTTTTAAATTAATTTTAAACCTTAGGTATCACGTTTTATATGGGGGCACCTTATTTCAAGTGTCAGTATTTAAACTCTCGATTTTAATAAATAAAACAATACATTAAAGCATTTTTTTCTATTTCAATGCCTATCGGCACAGCAACAAAGATGCACTATAACGAAATATCCTCTGAGTTACAATATCATTTGTGAAAGGACACTTTTGCAGGGTTAAAATAGTTTATATAACATTTAGCTTTATATATACTGCTTAAAATTTACTATACTTATAGAGGAAGAGTTGCTCAATACCGAGGATTGAGCGTTTCTATATACAGGGTGAACATAATAATTAACACTAAATGATGATATGGACAAAAATGCGATCTTCACATCATATCTATAGATAAAAAATGATTAAACTTTTTAAAAAATCTAACGCTAGATAATACGGGAAGTAAAAACGCTTAATTTAAGCAAAAAAGAAACGCGAAATTGTAAAATCTCGAATAAAATGCAAATTTTTATAGCGACACTGGACAAAACATGGCATGTTTATCTTCTAAATTGGTTATTATATAAATTGTAACCTTCGTTATAGAAAGAGAATGTTGAGAAGAATATTTCAGAAAAGAAAGAAAAATAAATTCAATGCTGACAAAAAAAAGATAAAAGTGTTCGGCTTTGAAAGAAATAAAAAAAAATGTGTCTGCAAAGCTCCACAACTACATACACAGACGTATATTCACAAAATACGTCTGTGTATAAACAAGTGCGAGTTCGCCTGTAGATAGAGAATTGACAAGGTACTGAAAGGAAGTAGGAAGAACGCAGGTGGTAGATATCATCAGAGTCCAACAAAAGTAAACAATTTAATACTTGTTCATTTATTAGATCTGACAGGACTCACAAGATTCTTAACATGAAACATTGAGTTGCTATACGCCAAGGAGGATTTTCATTTGCTGATAATATAATATTCTTTATTCGGTAACTAATTTCTTTTCCTTTGATAAAAACTTTGGTAAGTAATGGTATTTTCATTTCTAATCTTAAATATATTTGTGATAATTTAATCCACATTTTTTTATTTTATTATAGAAGTACATAAATTGTCGGCATGATTTTATTTGGTTTAGTCAACTTTTGTGATAGTAACTAATTTATGAGTCAGAATTCTTGCAAAACAAACGAACAATGGCATCAAAAAACGTTGGATCTAGTTTTCGAATTGTATAAAAATGGATAATGGAGATGAAAAATTGTATATGTCACTTCCGAACTTAGAAATAAATATTCTCCTTAAATAAATAAACTTCTTTTAGAAGTAAAACTACTTTTGGCACTTATAATGAAATATGAACGATTTAAAGAGTAGAAAACAGGATCATCATTCCCTTTTTTAAATTCATTAATATTTCGTACTTTTTAATCAAATAATCTTCACAAAAATTATCTGTAGATTTTTTCTTTTTTCTTTTTTTCTCCTCATCCAAAATCTCAACGAAATTCATTCAAAATCTAAAATTACATGAAATATATCTGTCAGTATGAAATAAATGATTGTTCAAAACAGCAACAAAGACTATAAAGGAATAAAGTCCTTGACTTAGAATTGACAATTGTAACAGGATAGAACCCATATTCTTGTTGGCAGTGACGATGGTGGTATTTGCCAACAACAGTATTATTCGATTATTGTGAGTTCCAGCGGCAAAGTTTTGTAATATAAACAACTAAGATGAAAATTCTACTTCACAAAAACAGTTGTCATGCCAATACCTCATTCTCTTGGAGTTGAAAGACATGAAGTGAAATAGTGGAGTAAATATGGTGAGGATGTCGCTAAAAATAGATCTAACTAGTAATGAGATATAATAAGCATAATCAATAATCTCCCATAGAAATTATATAAATATATTAACCAATAAAATATTAATATTAATTGTGAGGAAAATAACTTCTACAATGATTACATTAATGATGGTAACGACGACAACGGTGATGAGGATGATGATGGTGATGATGTTTATAGTTTTTAATATAAACTATAAAAGCATAATGCACAAACATTAAAATCGGTAATATATTAATAAGCATGTTATTATGTTTTTAATATAAACTAGAAAAAAACTATATAAATATGTTAAACTAGAAAAGTTTAATTAATTTTATTCACGATCTGCAAACCCTTACATTCCTGTTCTTTAAGAAAGCATCTTAAAAATTTTAATTTGCTAAGCAAGAAATATTTTTTGTTTGTATCTCATTTTTCTTTACGCATCAGATGTTCCAGTGATTTTCCCAGTTGAATGCATTCTCTTTATTTCAAAGTCATACATGAGTAAATAATTAAAAGTGATTGAAAGATGAAGTAATATTCTTCTTGTAAGACTTATAGTTATAAAACTCGATTCCATTTCCATTTGTTCGTTCATTTTGGAATGTCCTTTAAAAGAAATAAAAAAAAGTTAGAATAAAATAGGTTTCTGCATTAAATGTGGAATAATATGAAATTGAAATTACTTGATTCGCTGTTTACTTTTAACTTAAAATTTATATCATTTATAAATGCGTTAACAGAGAACGTTTGTTACAATGGATGTTATTTTGAATGATTTGTTGAAGTATATGCGTTCGACAATAAACAAAACTGACACATTTGTACTTATTTTAAGTTAAAATAAAAAGGCATGTTTACATCAAATATATTTTTAATCAAATATTCACATATACTAATGAATTTGGATTTATTTTATAATTCTGTTTTATCGAGTTCTACAAAACTATAATTTGTCGGGAAATAGTTTTGATAATTTCAGACAAGACTCCTTTGTAAGAAGGTTTTTTTTTTTTTGTTATTTTTTTTGTTTTTTGGGGGTTTTTTTTTTATCCTAGCGTCATAATAGAAAAAACAATTTGTTTTTGAGATAAAGAATTCAATTGTTCTTTTGACCTGCAAATAAATAAAATATAAACTCAACAACTGTCTTTTCTTTCAACAAAGATTCTATCCAGTGTTGTCAACAAAAAATGGTACTTCAATGCTCGCCCGTATACTTTTTTATTTTTCAAATTTAGTCACTCATGAGAAATGAAAAACATACCTCTTATAGACAAAAATTGGTACCTTTTATATAGACAAATATTGGTACCTTTTATGGACAAAAGCGTACAGTATAATCGGAGAAGAAGAGCCAAACTACAACACAATGCTGGATTTTGTGGATCTTATGGATTTATAAATTATTTATAGATCTTAATCACGTGAATGTCAACGAAATCAAAATATATCAGTTTATATCAATAATTTTCCTTGTTAACAAAAAAAAAACAAAAAAAAAAAACAAATATTGCTTCTCTATGTATAAAACTATTTGTTATTCTAAGGTAATTTCTTTAATAACAAAAATGTTAATGTGTCAAGTTTAAAATATATCCGCATAAGTGGGTATTATGTTTAGCTATGTGCATTCGAATCAAAATGAGCGAGTTTCGTCTTCTGAAAATAATTATGATATTGTTTCTCTAAAATGTAAATATTTCTTTTCCTTCGACTCTTCATTAAACTACATAGCTTTTAGTGCGTTAAACTTTGTTTGGTACACTAGTCAACCTTATTTATCAAAAAAGGTTTTCATGCGAAAATTTTTCATTAGCACATCTAATGCCAATGAAAATTTTAATTCCCTTAAATTTACCTTGTGTGATATGTACATCATATTTTGACAGTATGTTTTTATATTTTAGACAAATCTCGAAGAATGCAATCAGGAGCCATCACCTTCAGTTTTTTTATGGGTAGCATCTTATTCTTTGTGGTATGGACACGAGGTAATGCAAACCAGCATCAACAGAATCCTGATTCTCATGAATCGGTGCCGGATCCGAAACGACCCTATTTGACTCTTTGGAGAAAACGCGGAAACAATGCCATCAACTATCAATACAACTTGCACAAGCCTGTACAAAATGGCCAGGTTAATCAGCATGGTTCAGTGACCCTTTTCAAACCAGCACATAAGAAAAATAAGCCTGACCGATCAGGCTTCGTGATCAGTTATAGTATTAGCCAAGATTTTGATTCCAGTAAACCACTTCAACATAATCAAAATAATATGGGAGTTACTCCGAAGCGTTTCTCCCAAGGATTCACCCGTGATCCATATCCTGCCCATCAGTCTATGCTACTGCACCCTACTCTTAATCGGCCGCAATATCTTTATAGGAATATTGATCCAGTAAGTCAACATCGCTGTTACGACAGCATTGATTTCAATCAAATTTCCTGCTGTATGCCATCCTATAATGGCAGGTCCCAAAGATGCTGGAAGCAGAATATTAAGTGGTAATATAACTTCCTTTGAATCACTAAAAAGCGCCATCATCATTGTACGGTGATGTCACTTACATCTCGAATCAAAAGCAGCCACATGTTCGATACAAAGTAGATAATTGAATCCTAATCTTTAATTATAACAATTTATTCGAGCTTTACAGATGATTTTTACTTACATAAAATCGTCATAAAATGTTTAGCGTCAAAATTTTAACTATTATAACTGAAAATTCTAATAAAAATATAAACATATATTTGTTGTGTTATTGATCTAAAATTACACGTGTTATTTAAATAAAATTATCTCATTTCAATACTTTTTAATATTTTCAAAGCTGAAAGCGATTGAATTCTTGAGTAATTGGGTCAACATTTATAGATTTATTGATTGTGAGCACGTCACTTCACTTTCCGAAGCAGACAAAGGCATATACAAGAATGTCATTGACAGATTCCCGTACTTAAATCTAAAAAGAGCCACTGTAGTTTGCCGATACATTTATTTTTTCCTAAGCGGTTTATAACGAGAAGTGAATATGAACCTGCCATTAATGCATACATTCTTTTAATCAAAAATATTCTCTGGGAGTAATCGTGGTTGAATTTAGGGATTATGAACACATAGAAAAGTTATAATTTCATTATAGATACTGACTTGAATAGAAACTTAATCAGCGAGAATAATGGGAAAAGAACACAAAATATAACGTTCTAATAGATGGAATAAAATAGGTTTATTAAATTCAAAGATGAATTTAAGAGTGGAAATATTACTTCCCAAAAACCTAAATATTTTATTTGTTTTAATGTAAAGTGTAGTTGATATTCATGATTTGATTAGAAACTGTGATATAACACCATCTCTAGTCGGGTTAGATTTGTCCGTAAATCATGACTGAATGGCCGAAAGGATAAAAAATTAACTGGTCATTTGAAATCACTCTTGATCTATAAGTAATCATGACTACACAAGCAAAGCTGGCTAATCAGAAACTAAAAAGATGCCGTATAGTAGGAATCCGATTCACTAGTATAAAAGAATGCAATAAGAGAATACCTTTCGTGGCATGACTTGACATTTTAAAATTAACGAGAAATTAGAAGATCAAACACAAATGGGACAGATCAGTATAACTTCAAAGCTTATAATTTCCTGAGTTGAAAATCTCCACGGCACAGAGAAAATGTCCGCCAGAAAGTGGGTGTGGATGGTAGCAACAGATTGCCATAAGGTGAAGATACAAGAAAAGGTAACATAGAAAACACCTGGACCTCACTCGAGAACGAAAGATATTATTGAACATGAGGTTTAGGGTCGTGTTCATAATATCTGAACTGCTCACACACATTAAACGTGACACTGAAGAAATTAGAACAAGTGTTTATACTTTCCATGTAACGACAGGGTTAGGAGAAGTGGGAATACTGAGAAATTTGCTAGAGATTTGAATAGTGACTCGATCATCGAACCCATGGCGTGAAGATGCAAAAGAAAGAAGAAAAAAAAGA